TGATAGACAAACCTTCTGACACCCTGCATGTTCCCTGTCTTCCTCTGTTGTCAGCTCTTATGATGTTGCCAGACCTTGCATTGAGACAAATCAGGCTCCCAGGTGCCAAATCAGACAAAATTAGATAAAAAACAACAAAATTATAGATATTTCATTGATTCCTCATTATAACCTATGGCCGTATCTCTGAAGTGGTTCTGAAGCAGTTTGGAAGATCCGAAATGCTTTGGAAAAACTAAGGAAGCCACTGCTTCGATCCGGACATGCTGCTTCAGAAGCTGAAGAGTCCGAAGCTTCTCCAGATCGGAAGCATGGTCTGAAGCCTCGCACAGACCTAATATCTAGGAGTACACACGGTGTGCACCATCCGAGAGCCTTGCCACAGTGGCAGGAGCGCACCTGTAGGCCTCAGAAAAAAACAACTACACGAGGACAGATGTGGACGGAGGATCTCCTACATATTTTTCCTGGGGCAGCAATACCCCAGAGTGGTTTATACTGCCTTTCTGATCCTTTCTTATGGTACTGTAAAGGTTGACTACACTGACTTAATACCCGTGGTACATCTGGTGCAGATGTAATACTATCTTTTCCATACTATGCCCTTCAATTAGTGATTTTTACAAACAAAAAACTGACACTTTCCCTCTCTTCAGTGCTGTGCTGGAAATCGGACAAGAAACAGTTTCCATTAAATCAGCTGACAACTGGCATGTGGGAAACAGGTTTATTTCCATCATTACACATAACCAATACAGACAGCCAGATAAATGTCACCTGGCAATCAATTGGTACAGAAACCCAAAGCCCCATCCATCTCCAGGTTGGTGACAAATATGAAAGCTTTGTCCAGAAAACAAGATGGCGACAGACTCTGCCCAGCCCCCAGTCACTGCTCCACGAGGGACACCAGGGCACGATGTACTTCAATGGGATCACAGGGTTCAGAGCACCGATGTACCCTGGCAGTGGCTGCAGTCTCTGGGCCAGGGCAGCAGCTCGCTGTCATCCCCTCTGGCTGGCTCAGGTCTCCTGGCTGCCACTTTCCTCCTCCCTTCCCAGCTGCTTCTCCTCCCTGGCTACAGTGTCTCCTTGTGTGGCTCCCTCTCCTGCCTGGACGCTTATAGGAATGGCTTTCCCCTCTGCGGGCTGCAGGGCCAGGTGCGGGGCCTGGATGCAGAGCTGTCCATCCGAGCACAGGGAGCAGGTCACAGCCTCCAGATCCAGGCCCAAGGGCAGCAGCATTTCCCTGCGCAGCTCCCGGTACTCTTGCAAGCTGCCTCCATCCTCTCCAGCGCTCTGCTTCTCACGCCTCCCCGTTACCATCACCCTCCTGCCCTCCTGCCTCACTGTCAGCTCCTCTGGTGCGAAGCCGGCCACGTCCACACGCAGCTCGAACTTCTTGTGCTGCCGACCCCCAGACTCTGGCTCCTGCTCTGTGGCCCCAGCCTGGGCCGCTCCATCCTGCCTCGGCTCCCCTTGGCCCGCAGGCTCCAACCACAGGAGCGGCTGGGCCTGCAAGA